ACTTTGGAATTATCAATTTAATACATTGAAGCTAGAGTAGGTAATGTCTGTAAGAATAAACGTGGCACATTTCTCGTAATCAGCATCTAAGTATCAAGATGATCGACTCGACAACACACGCAGAAGAGCAGACTCAATACGTAATCATAGGTAGGTCTACAAAAAATAATGAGAAAACCGATACAAAAGTAGTGGAGTGACTAGATGAGTGGTCTGGTCGCGTCCCAAGCTTACCGGGGGGGTCTGTTGGGATTCCCACGCGACGCTCGAGGCGGCGCTCGCGCGGCCCGCGACCACACTGCCGCCACCTACGTACGTACACACGCATACATCGCGCCAGAGCCTAACAGGGAGTGGTGAGTGGTCACTCCACCACCGGTTTAGGGCTCGCACGGTCATTTAATTATTCTAAACTTTGCTAAAAGCTTTATTTAATTTGAATATGGTCAAATTATGCACTTTTTTGAAAGAGATAATATTCTTATAGAATTGAATTGGATGTTTTTATTTTATAACGCAATTCGATGATGCAAGGTGATGTCTATTGATAGCATCACGCTTCCTGCCTGAGGCGGAGACTTAGAATAGTTTGGCATTTTATCAAAGTGTAGAGACGGCAATCAGAATTAGAAAAATTAATTCCAAATGATTCAATAAACTGGCCACGACCATCCTCGTTTCCACGTGGATATTTTCATTAAATACCGCCTTTTCACTTTAAAAGAATGCGCGTCTTATACTTTATTGGGCAGAGTAATTTTACACATCTTATTAACAGGAGGACGTCTCCCACATACGATTAATTATTTACAGGTAACCATATAATTTACAGCTTAAAATTATGGTAAAAACCCGACATGTAAATGTCGATATTTGCGAACTAAATCGAACATACTTACTCCGCCAATAATTTGAATTATACTTCTCATCAAAAAAATACCGAGACACTTACTTTTTTATAGTTAAACAAAATATAAAATCTATGAAATTTTAAGTTGAATAGAAGGCATTAGGATGTAGAAACCTCGTAATACTTACTATTGAATGAGATTAAACATTTATTCCTAAGTAAACATACTTCTCAGATAATGTGATCCGTACAAAAAGTAAACTTGCTCTCGTCTGCTTCGTTTTGCGTTTTGCGTCTGCTGTGTCTCGATTTTTCTGATGAGTGTGCATTTTAAATTCAGTTCCATTTAACTCGCAAATATTCCTGAGACATCATGATAAAACAAGGTTATTGTACCATGACGTCAAATTGCTGAACATCGTGTTCATAATCTGACTAATACGCGTCCACACCAAGCGAGCAGCTTCGTTGCCTCGCTGCCTAGAGAGGCAAACGACCAAAAAAATTACGTGCCTCACCCGAGGTAACGCAAGGTCATGCCCGGACGAACGGGCGCGGGCCGAGCCAAAATCAACGCGCCTCAGAAGTTTGCCTATTAATTTATTTAGGCGTCTAAATTGGGCCGAACTTGCCTCGCCTGTGCACGAGCGTATGCCTCGCGAGGCAGTGAGGCAGCGAGCAGCCTCGGCTGGTGTGGACGCACCTATAGATGATGAATGATAGGGCTAGGTGATTGAATGTGTCTCTTACCAGGTGTGGGCATGTCGAAGGAGATGAGCGGGTCGAGGTCTGGTTGCTGGTGGTGCAGGTCGGGCCGCGAGCGCGCGCCTACAACCGCGCGCAGCTCGTTGCGCACGTACTCGCTGGTACCGCCCGCGCTTCCGCCGCCGGCGGGGTGGGGCACGCCTACGCCGCCGTTGCCTGCGCCTGAATATAATAAACATCAGTCCTTCTGATGCTAGATGCATTGCAAATTTGATAGAAAAAAGGGACCCGAAATGGCAGCATTATTGTTTGCATCTTTTTCGTATTACATGACATTTGGGCAAGATGTCAACAATAATGTTGCCATTTCGGTTCCCCCCTTCTTTTCTGAACCAAGTTATATCTCTCCTGGTTTGCTTTCGAAATGGTCTTGTTGCTGTTAGAACGGTAGCGGTTATAAAACCTCTTAGGATAAAATCCTTAATTAATAGCAACCAGTGTAGATAAACCCGATAAAAATATGAATCGCGTCTAACAATCCATATCTGAACCTTTAGTGATACATTTTCTCAAAATTACAAGTTATTTTGTAGAGTTTGATGCTTCTAAATTACATGTCGGCTGAAATACGAAAGAAGTGTTCACGTTTTCAGAAAATTTAACAGAATACACAAGTTTCGAGTCACAGGAAGATACGATAACGATTAAATCGTTACCAAGACAATTTTGTAACAGACTGATCCAAATGAAGAAATAAATGTCTACGCTGCCGTCACACTATTCATAAGAAAAGGCAAGTTGTAAAGCGAAGATCATTTTAAGCGCAGAACAGATTTACTCATGCAGAGCGGTAGTTAAGAGATAATAAAAAATATCAAATGCTATCGATACGCTACCACCATCGGTTAAACTGGCATTGTTTCTTACCTTCCCATTTTAGACAAGTCTTTCAATTAGATCGATATAAGCATGTAAATATTAGAAGAAATACTGTATTACTCTATACATAAAAAAAATACAAAATCCAGCAATCCATGTATTTTTGGATAGTTCTTATCTTACCATCTTATTAACGCTGATAAATCTGACACAACAGCTTTATTCTGTTCGTAAACGATTGCAGAAAATGTCTAGTTCAACAATAGCATGATCTATGGTTTTGTTAAGGTGTAGTAAGTAATGTATGGGGTGAGCGTGGGTCGGGATGTCCGGTATACTCACACTGCATCTGCTGGTCGTGCGGCGAGGGGTGGTTGGGGTGGGGATGCGCGGGGTGCGCGGGGTGCGCGGGGTGTCCGGGGTGGCCGGGGTGCGGCGCCAGCATCGGCCGGCGCGCGTACTCGCCGCAGTAGCCGCCAGCGCCCGCGCCCGCTCCCGCGCTTGCCCCGTCCGCGTAGTAGCCGCCCACTGCCACACACGCCGGGATATAGTACCGAGGTTGTCACCTACCTACCGCCGCATACCGAGCGTGATCGAAACGCGGCAATATCGGTTCGATCGGAACCGGCCGTGAGTCGGCTTCGACCGACCGAATTCATCGCGGCGCATTTCGACGACCTATGGGGGAGGGATCTACTGACCGACCTATAGGCCGGTGTAAAAGATTTGAATAAAGCTAAATACATGCAATTAGTCTGTGGCTCCGGAAGGGTCGGTCCCGGATCGGTATTATGACTAGTAATCTACAGGGCATGCTGAAGAAAGTAGGTTGTTTTTAATTCGTTCAAAAGGACATGCTCTCACGAAAAATAAAACCGACTCGTACTATCTATGTCTATGGCTATCTAAAAATTAAATTTAGTAATATCAAAGAAAAAGCATATCATACAAAGATACCTTTGGATCAGACTGAACTTTTAATAAACCATTCCATTTCCATAACGACACCGGAAAAACTTATCCAATTTGATACATACCCTTATTGCCATTATCTTATGAACAATAAAATCAATGTTATTTTTAACTATATACAAAGTAAAATAAAATTATATTTCTTGTTTGTGTTACCTAGATAAAAAATTGTGCATCTTTGAAAATAAATAACCTAAACTAGTCTAACGTTCGTCAGAAATCAGATTAGTGTTCTAGTGGTCATTCAGATATAAGGGAAATCTTAGGGATACTATTAAATTTGTCGCACCACACATTGAATCGCATAATACTATTTACACTTGTAAGACAATCTCTCGCAAAATCAAACACTGAGAAATTGTGTTGATTTTGACTGTCAAATATTTCCATTATCACAAACAGTTTTGCCGACTTTCATATCATACTCCTCATCAAAAAAATCGAGGCACTTTCGTTTTCATAGTCAAACAAAATATGAAAACTTTGAAATAAAAAGTTTAATGTAGAAAATCGACATTAGGATTTTGAATGATCGTAATACTCACTATTTGTCATTTATTCCAAAATGAACATAATTATGTCACAGATAATGTGATCCCTACAAAACGTAAACTTGCTAAGGGTCTCGATTTTTCTGATGAGAAGTGTATTTAGACACGAAGTCGTCGAAGGTTTCGGACAGTCGTGTTTCAAAAGCGGGTGCTAGTGATATTTACCCATGGGCGCCCTCGGGGGCCTCAGGTAGGGCTGCTGCTGTGCGAGCGGCGACATGGGCGACATGGGCGTGTGCAGCGCCGCGCCCGCCGGACCGTGCGCGCCCGCGTGACCGTACCCGCCGCCCGCGCCGCCCGACCCACCCGTGTTGCCCGCGCCGCCCTGGAATACCAGCAGTTCAACATTTAGCATACTGACAAGTTTTTTTTCAATCAACATCATATCAAGCAGGACCTGAAGCGGTAGGGTGTATCGTAAGGTAATTGTTTCTAATACACCTAAACCTATAAGGCCTTACCACAAAAAAAGGTTGAACGCGTGTTTAAAATAAACCTTCATATAAAAGAAACGCTAGAAACGCGTTCAACGCTCGTCTAACTTTTTGTGGTAAGGCCCGTGAAAAGCCCTCCTGGGTTTTTGTCGCCAAAAAGACACGTTTTTTTGTGTTTCAGTCTGTAGGCCGCGACATTCAGAGAAAATTATCGGCCCATAAGAAAATCCAAACGAGTACAAGACAGAGACTTCATTCGGCCATTTGCTATGGATAACAAGATAAGTTTTATTGCTCTAAATGATATTAAAATAATGTTTACTTACACTTAATTGTCGACTTAACATCGGATTTTGTGACGGCGACGTAATTTTATTTGTACCGTAGTTTGAACCTATTTGATCTGTAAAATAAAATGGAGCATTTTAAAATTAAGCATCAGTCAGAGAAATAAAGAGTTAAAATTACTTTTATTTTCAGGTTTAGCAATGGAGATCCCATTTTGAAGATGATCCGATCATGAGAAGAAAAAAACATGATCCAAAAACCGGATCCAGGTCGCTTCGAGGCGAGCATCAAGAGGTAGAAAGATTCATCAGGGTCCGCCAGGCGCCCGTAGCTCAGTTGGCAGAGCCGTGGGACGGCATCCCACGGTGCCAGTTTCTAGTCCCGGCGGTCGCTAATGAATTTTTCTCATTTTCAATTTATAAGATCCAAGGTATGTATACTCACTTGAAGGGTGGTAAAGATGGTGATAGTCAGTACGAGTTATGTTCACATTAGGGGGCGTGGCTGACACCAGCGCGTTGATAGTCGAACCAAGGTCCTGCTGCGTCGGGTCGGCAGCCTGTAGCCAAACAAATTATCAGATTAGTCGAAGTCGGTACAAAATTTCTTTGAATTACTTTGAACACCCCTGTTTTACGTCAAGAATCTCGTAGATGATTATACCGCAACCGATCTTGTCCCATGAATATCGGGGATCACCATGTCCCGTCCGGTCTGTTTCCTAAAATATAGTGGATAACAACGTCCCATCCTATCTTATCCAGAAAATATTGTGGAGAACCTTCCTCAAGAATATCGTGAATCACAAAATTACATCCTATTTTACCCCGAAAATATCGTGAATCACAATATTCCTTGCTATATTATTCCAAGAAAATATTGGATCATAATATATCATTTCTTATCCTATGCCAAGAATATCGTGGATATTCCTTATTAGGTATGTTATTCCGAGAAAAATCGTAGATCACAATATCTCGTTCTATCTTGTCCCGATAATATCGTGGATCATAATATCCTATCCTGATTATCCTGACAATATCGTGGATCACAATATCCTATCGTAGATAGGATAGGTAGAGAATATCGTAGATAACATTATACATTACTCTCTTATCCCAAGAACATCCTGGATTCGATACTGACTGGAGCGGATCGTTAAACAGAAGAAAATCTGTTTTTTTTTTGTCTTAATTTTGAAGGGTTTTGATATCCAAGTAATGTTTCTCATGGTACTTACCTCGGGCGAGACCAGCATCTGCTGCGAGCGCTGCATCTGCAGCAGCCTCGCGCGCTGCTGCTCGGCCGCCAGGTTCCTCGCGCGCGCCGCCTCGCCCCCCGCCGCCGCCTGCCCCGCGCCCGCCCCCGTCGCGCCCGGGCTCGCCATCCCGTAGCCGCCCGCGCCGCTCATGCCGCTCATGTTGTGGCCGGGCTGTGGAAGAGAAACAAGTAAATAGGTGCGTCCACACTGCCCGAGGCTGCTCGCCGCCTCGCTGCCTCGCGCGGCAAACGCTCGAGCGCAGGAAAGCTAAGTTCTGCGCAATTTGGACGCCTAAATAAATTATAGGCAAACTTCTGAGGCGCGTTAATTTTGGCTCGGCCCGCGCGCGTTCGAGCATGCGATGCCTCGGGTGAGGCACGTAATTTTTTGGCCATTTGCCTCGCGAGGCAGAGAGGCAGCGAGGCTGCTCGCTCGGTGTGGACGCACTTAATTGCCAATGGATAAAGTAACGACGCTAAAAACGTGGTAATATGAAATCTGTTACAGAAGATTCAATCAAGAAGAAATGGGAGCAGCCACAGAATGGTGACCATTAGGGGTAAAAATATTAGTGGGCTGTGCTTGATGGTTAAACATTTTAAAGTTGTCAAAGATTTTTTATTGTAAATCGTCGCCCATTAGATTTCACTGAACGAGTCTGACACAAGACTGTGTGGATGGACGCTGTAGTAGAGTAGACGGATGACATGCTGCGGTGGACTGATGATGCCAGGCTTGGAGACCATTATAGGTAGGGTATTCTTACCGGGCTTTGAACAGCGTAGACGGGCGGAGCGCCTGGACTAGACGACACGGGGCTTTTGGTCACGGTTTCGCACTGCATCAAGCTTTGCCGTATCGCGTTTATCATCGCGCTCTTTGCGTCTTTGCCCTGCAACAAATACATGGTACTTTATCAAGGAGTCCTGTTGAAATAGTCCTACTTGACTGATAGGTCAAATGAGCTACTTTTTAAGCCCCAAGCTCCACAGAGAGGACAAGGAAAGGACATAGGGCGTAGGGCATGACGCTTGACGTTTGACATCGCGACGTTTCCATACAAAATGTACGAAAAAGTATTGACAAAGGCACACACAACTACACAAGCGTCGCCAAAGCGTCGCATCTATGACAGCTAGCGTCAAAAACTAAGAAGAATATTTGACGATCACTTGTCTGTCAACTGTAATTCTTACGTCCTATGCCCTCGTCTTTTTGGTAGAGTTTGCGCCTAAGACGACCGAAAACGATATTTTGTATGAAATTATAAAAATATATAACGTCATAATTCAATATTTTGGATGGAGTCAATTACTTTCATATAATTTTGGTGTAATTTTAATATTTTTGCAAACAATGAATGAAGTCTGCTGTAAATTTTGTAAAAAAAATTAAGCATATATCTTTTATATTTTATTTATGACCTTGTCAAGTAGCGAATTAACTACTGCAATTCTACAATGTTCGCAAGATTATAACCCGCAAGTGAATAAATAACACACGAACGGGGAATATATCCGCAATTTGCTTTAGCATTCGTTTCAAGTTGGAACACCAGTAAAAGCATGTTCAACGTTGCTACGATGCAAAAATTGAAAGTTGGTCAATCAACTCCCCCTGAAGCTGGATTTCTATAGCTGATATCAAGAATCATTTTAGTGTTTTCTTTTTTACCACCAATTTGAATGTGACATTTCGGACCAATCTCGCTTAAAACTTCTAACAATATGTTTTTTCAGTATTTCTAAATGTTTGATCCGATATTTTGGCATTTTGTGTAGGCATTGGCGCAAACAACTTCGAGACTGGTACAGACTGCTTTGTCGAAATAACATCTATTAGATAATATATTTAAACGAGCAAGAATTGTAATTGGGAAACGGCTCTAACGATTTGCACAAAATTTCGTATGTAGAGGCTTTCGGGGAGCTAAAGCTAGGTTTCATTCTTCATAAATAGTTTCTTCGCCTGTTTTTTGTGAATTGTTTTAAAAATAACAACGACATCTACTGATTAACCGATAAAACTCGTCCTGCGCCGAGAGAGAGTAAGAGAGATAGAGTGAGACAGAAAAAGAGAGATAGAGTGTGTGTGAGAGAGAGAGAGAAAGAGAGAGTGAGACAGAAAGAGAGAGATAAGAGAGAGAAAGAAAGGAGTCTTTACGTCGTATTCAGTGCGTATTTGGCGGTTGTTCTCGAGGCCGCTGTCGTCGGGCGCGGGCCGGTCCGCGTCCGGCATTTTCTCGATCACTGCGTCCAGAATGTCCGACAGCACGTCTTGGTCGTTGTTCGACACCTCCATGTTGCCGCCGATATTAGGAAATTGCCTTGACTAATATTTGTGGCCGGTGAGAATCGAACCCACGCACGACCCTCAGCGTAGAAGGCAGGGGCACAAATTAGGGAAACGGCGCGCGGGGCGCCTGCAGGAGGGACCTATCCGCTACGCTATGGGGGCAGTCAAATTACATTATACTTACGTCATATTCATTGCGTAGTTGCCGGTTGTTCTCGAGGCCGCTGTCGTCGGGCGCGGGCCGGTCCGCGTCCGGCATGTTTTCGATCACTGCGTCCAAAATGTCCGACAACACGTCTTGGTCATTGTTCGACACCTCCATATTGTTGCCGCCGCCACCGCCGCCCGCTACTTGCGATTGCGCTTGCGTTCGACCAGTCCTGAAGAAATAGAGGTAAAAATTTGTAACTAAACAAAGCATTAGTAAAACGTAACGTGTCCTTCAGGATTTTTAATGATCTTATAGAAAAGAATAGAACTATTTTCATTATGGTTTCATATTCTTGTTGGCTATGGTTTTGTAGAAAACGCGAATGCATGATCTGCTTTTCGCGCCGAAATTTCAGCGATTTTTTATTGATAGTTTTTCAGTCTAACGCAAGGTTATTGTTTGCTCTTGAACATACCAGACAAGCCTGGGAATATTTTGAATATGTACCATGCAATAGGGAAATATCCACGATCCATTTAAGTGTGAGTGCCTCCGCTAGATTGCGAGGTGCGACTGCATGCCGCTGCGTCGCTGGTAGATACTCACTGCGGGTGGTGGTATGTGTGCTGTGGCGCGGTGTTGCCGTACATCGTCTGGAGGTGGTGCTGCGGGGGGTGGGGGTGGGGGGGCGCGGGCGGGTAGGCGGAGCGCGCGGCGCCCGACAGCACCATCGCGAGGTGCGACTGCATGCCGCTGCTGTCGCTGCCGCCGGCCGTCGACACGATGCCGGGGCCGCCGTTCACGTTCACGCTGCTCGCTCGGCTCCTGGTGATCGACTACGTGGTTAGACAACTTTTTCATTTATGGGGAGAGGGAGGAGACTAATAAGAATAATGGCTGAAGACCAATAATAGCAACAAAATTGTAAATATAAAAATCAGTAAATAAGAGTACTACAGTCTCAAAGTGTTGCGAACGAAGTGAGCGCAACTTTTGACGACCGGCCGGAGTGCGAAGCACCGAGTTCAACTGCGGGGACGCAACTTACTGTAGCATATTAGACAGGGCGTTGGACTGATGCCTCAGCTGGTGGTGTTGGGGCTGTTGGGGCTGTTGGGGCTGGTGATGCTGGTGATGCTGGGGCTGATGCTGCTGCTGGTGCTGCTACTTTTGACGAGAGCGAAGTACCGGGTTTAACCTAGAGGCCACTTACTGCAGCATATTAGACAAAGCATTGGACTGTTGCCTCAGTTGGTGGTGTTGGGGCTGTTGGGGCTGGTGATGCTGGTGGTGCTGGGGCTGGTGCTGCTGGTGGTGCTGGGGCGGCGGGCGCGTGGTGCTGCTGGTACCCTGGTAACTGCTGGGGTTGGACTGCGGGGAGGCTACTTACTGCAGCATATTAGACAGGGCATTGGTCTGATGCCTCAGCTGATGGTGTTGGGGCTGTTGGGGCTGGTGATGCTGGTGGTGCTGGGGCTGGTGCTGCTGCTAGTACCCTCTCAGCACGGGGTTGGACTGAGGGGAGGCTACTTACTGCAGCATGTTGGACAGGGCGTTGGACTGCTGCCTCAGCTGGTGGTGCTGGGGCTGCTGGGGCTGGTGGTGCTGGTGGTGCTGGGGCTGGTGCTGCTGGTGGTGCTGCGGCGGCGGGCGCGGGCGCTGCTGCTGGTACCCTCTCAGCACGGG